CTCATGTGGACTATGCATATGTTGACATAGTTTATTAACTATATACGCAATGTTCGGGCGAGTAATTGTTAAGTATTTAAGGGATCCAACCAAATGGCGGAAGTCATCTGCAGCATGAACTGTAAGACATGCATAGGAACTGTTGGATCTTATATGAATTAGGAGGGGATTGGAGAAGAAATGGGCTTATAATCAGCCATACCCGCCCTGTGGAGTATATCAGCAAGATGTTGATCGACATAAATATAGACCTTGTGATGAATATAAGAATGTCATTGCTAATACTTTGAGCTGAAAGTCAGTAGGAGTGACGACCAATTTGATTATTACTTTTAAGCAAGCATTGATTAGAGAAATGAAAAGATTCAAATTAGCGAGGGTACATTCATTTGATATGTCAATTAGAATCACTTCCCAAATAAGAGTTCAACCCTCATTGCATAACATAAAAAATAGCTCGGTAGGTAGATAAAGAATATGTGCAGTTGATAGATTTGATCCAGACTGAGAGGAGATATGAGTTACAAGTAAATGATCAGGATGTGATCTTTTTTAATGGTAAGTAGTATATCCTAGATAGTGGTGATCTACGAAAGAATATTCTATATGAAGCTCGTTATTCTAGATATATCAATTATCCAGATAATAATAAGATATATTATAATCTTAAGTATATATTCTAGTGGTCTGAGTTGAAGCAAAAAGTGACAAATTTTGTTTTTCTAAGTGAGAAGCATATCAAATCATGAAATTTAAGCATCAGAGGCCTAGTGTATTATTGCAACCATAGTAAATGCTTAAATAGAAATGAGAGGCGATCACTATGAATTTTGTTATAGGTTTTCTCAGCTTTGGGAAAGGTCGTGATGTTGTAGGCAATTGTGGGTAGATTGATCAAGTCTGGTCATTTTTTTAATAAGGTAAATATATTCTATAGATAAGTTAGCTTAGTTTTACGTGAATGAGATTATCATATTACATGGAATTTTCAAGGTTATCATTTTTTATCATGATGGTTGGTTTACCTCAAAGTTGTGGAAGAGCGTTTATGAAGGTTTGGGAATGAGATTGAATTTTAGAATGACTTTTAACCCCTAGATAGATGGGCAATTTGAGAGAGTAATTCAGGTGTTATAAGATTTATTTAGACTGTGTTTTGGATTTTGGTTGAAAATTGAGAAGACTATCTATATACCTGTATGTTTGCTTATAATAACAACTTTCAGGTAAGTATTTGTAAGACTCCCTATAAAACTTTGTATTGAAAAGGTGTAGAGCTAAGTTGTATTGGACTAAAGTAGGAGAAAGAATGTTGATAGGTTATAAGCTGATGCACAATGCTATAAAGAAAATTAGATCGATCAAGAAAATGTTAGAAATAGCTCATGACATGTAGAGAAAATAAATTGACCTTAGGCACAAGTTTGTGGACTTTCATATATATATATGATTTTGTATATATATAAGGTGAATGGAGTGAGCATATTTGAAAAGGATAGCAAGCTAAATTGAGAAGATCGGGAAATCTACTTGTAGTCGATTCTGGAAAAAAGTAGTGAAAATGAGGCAATTATATCATGAACTATTCTAATTGTACCATGTATTGAAATGTCGATGATGATATTTTCTGTAAGGAGGGGATGATGTAATACCAAATGTCAATAAATATATGTAATTAAGGCTAATTAAATGCAATATTTATTTAAATTTGATTTAATGTGTGATTATATGTCCTAGAGTGTTTAAAAAAGCTATAAGTCAAAACTTGGAAGGAGAAGTGAAATTATAGTTATCAAAATTTTCATGTGAGCGCTATTGTGCCTAGATTATCAGTGCTATTACATTTAGTTCTCGAGTGGGGAAACTAATTAAGCATACACTGCATTGTTGGGTGGCACTGCCGCAGCTTCAAGCTCTCTGTTTGAATGATTCAGGGAGAATCTAGAAGATTCGGGTCAAGATTGTGACACTGAGTCGTCCACTATAGTGTCAGGCCAAGTTGCTATTTTTAAATATTAAAATATCTAAAACTATTTTTGATAGCTGATAGCCCTCACCCCTATCCCTTTGCTGAAGAAGAGACGAGGAGAGGGGAGAGGAGAAGAGGAGAGAGAAGGAAAGAAAAAATATTTGGGAGTCGAAGCTCAAGATTTGTCCATCGGGCATATTCATGATAATGTAGAGCATAAGGTAGACTTATGAACTCCTATATCTAATTTCAATTCTAGTGGTTTCATGAATATAATGCATTTTTCTCGTATTATTTGAAGTTCTTAATGTATAACTTTTGATATAGCGTTATACATTTTATTTTGAATATTCTGACTATATGAAATTAATTTTATACATGTTGTTTTGACCTACTTAATTTATGAGTATATAACTTGATCGAGGCTTTTCTAGCATTTGCAATAGTTATATAAAAAGATTAAAATGTTCATATGAATATCCTTCTGAAATTAAAAATTGAATAAGAAAAATTTAATAGATATAATGTTATACATTTAATGTGGCTTTTTACTAATAATTCATGCATTATCTTAGTATTCAATTAAAATCATAATTTAAGTATTGTTGTGTTTGCATTTTCACTGTTCATAACATGACATTAAAGATGTTCTAATATGTAAAAAAGTGCACTCTCTGATATGTTACAAGGATCATATATGCTATATTATGACCCCATTTGCCTAGTGTGGATGTGGGAGGACTTTTGGCCCCACTTACTTAAAGTGGGTGTAGGAGATTGTGGTACTGATTTATTTCAATTATGACCCCACTTGATATATGCATGTGTAGGAGGTTAAAGGGAGACATAAGTACTGAAAGTGGAGTTATAAGCACACATCAGGACATATGCACATTGCATATGCTAATGGTTTAATAAATTAAGTATAATATTCTAAATTAAATGTAAGTCATTGTTTTAATTTTTTATACGAATCCTAATTAAATATGAAAGGCAACTGCAAATGAATCTCTTGTGACAAGTGTTCTGTGGTGTATATAGATTCTCTATGATGCATCTGAAATTAAGTATATAAACTAAAACCCTATAAAATCATGTTTTGCTATTACTTTATTCATTCTTTACAAATTATTGTGTTTTTAATTTATAATCCCATTTAATGTTTTAAATTGGATATTGATGTTTGTGATGAGTTGGTAAAAGATGTCTACTGGGCTTGTTATGATCTTTATATTATTTTTTATATTTCGTGAAAAGGTAAAGACTCGGAAGTATAAGGTGCATTCCACAATAACTGAATGAAAAGGAACTATCTTTATAATCGAGTGTTTAATTATTTTGATGTATAGAATTTCTGAAATTGGATTAATGTATATAGATTTTGCTGAAATAAAATTTGTGTTGAACTGCTTTTATTATTTAGAGTTTCATAATAGTTGTGGTCGATTATATTGTGGTTGAGTAATAATTATAGGTTTAGTATTTCAATCCTTTTATTAGATCTCAGGACTAATCAGTCATCACTTGGGAGGCATGATTATAACTTATATAGATGCATATTGATGTGTTAGAATAGAATTGCGTTAATTATAGTTGTTAATGCATTGAATATTGCATCACGATATTAATTAGAAATTATTTTAGGACATGTGATAAGATTCATTACATATTGTAGCATTATTGTAACCTTGTTATAGGATGACATTGATTTCCTACCGTTATAGAGTTATTCTAACTCTTTATATTATTCATATCCAATGCCCCAATACTTTGCAATTATATTTTAATATAATATATATATATATATATATATATATATTTGTTGTGTTTGAATTATGAAATTCACTCATTGTAAACTTTTTTCATGGTATGTTTTAATTGAGTACTTGGTGGACCATCAAAACAAGAGCAAGCTTATCAACAATAAGATCTCATTTGAAAATTTAAGATTTTATAGTTGTATATTTATATTTCCTTTGTGTTTGGGCAGTTTTATTTCTATAGTTCTTACTTCAATTTTTTTTTTTAAATTATTTTTATTCCAATTTCATTGATATACTCTTATTATGATGTATATTAATATAATAAAATCTTTATAATTTTCTATGTTTATTATTTGTGTATGATTTTTTCATTGTGAGCACAAATTTTTTGAATCTTTTCATCAATTTTTTTTTTTATTGCTAGGGTGTACCGTTTTTCAGACCAAGAATATGACAATATTCTTCTTATCGAAAGCATCCTAAGCCCTAACACTACAAATGGCGGATCCTAAGTACTTATGAATTGCATGTAACCAAGAGCATCTCGTTGCAATCCTAAGACATGACTCTTTTCAACGAAAAGAATTTACAAATTATATGTCGAGTGATTGAACAATGGCTATAGGGCATTTGTGGCCCTACGTTACATGACCAACACGACCTATGTAGATCATGTAATAAAGAAGAGAGAGCTTGATTGCCCCCCTTAGACCGGAACAAACACGAAAGTTCATGACTCAAAAATATAAAGATTCATATGATTTTAATTACATTTCATCACATTAAAATACATTGTTTCAGCTGTCAATATGCTAATAATAGAGTATGGATGATATCTGAAAATATTCAAAATTTATGAATTTTTTTTTAATTTAAAAAGTGTTAAAAAATTCATGCTTGAATAAATTAATCAGGTAAACTATAGAATCCCTATAAACTAAAATCATTAGGCTTTTGCCCACTCTACCCAAACCATTCACATCCTTTTCGTATTCGTTGCCAATCCAACTCTGCAATTCATACTCTCTCTCCTCTCTCCCACCCCACATGGTTGGATAAGAATCAAGTAAAGCATCGTCCCTTCAAAGCTACAAAAGATCTCAAACATCCCTTGCACTCTGGTTTCAAGCCTAGATCATTAGCATACTTAGAGGCTAAAAAAGAAGCCATTTCTCCAAGCTAAATCCACGACAACGGCTACTATACAAAAAGCAAAAGATGAGATGAGATGAGATGAGGTGTCGCTGCAATCATTGGACACAAAAAGATTGCACTTGAAGCTTCATATCATTGATTTATTATATAAACCCAATTTATTTTTACAAGGTGATCATTATCTGAAATAGTAATATTAACCCAGGCCCTTCATTATCACAAGATCTGCACATTCAAATATGTAAAGAATAACAACAATGGTTTTAAGAAAGGTGAAAAAGGTGGAAGGAAGAGAGAAGAAACACAAAGAAAGAACTACGAAGAGGACAACGACCAAGCACAATCATCAGCGACGGCCAAAGTCTCATCTTTGATCTACAAATCTGAATTATAAAGAGGTGACCGTCGGCGTACAGCTCGCATGTAAACTTTTTTCCTACAATCTGATCTATTCTGCAATCAAAACAACTCCCAGTCGAACCTTGGGGTGGGCGCGGCGGAAGAAGCGGCGGTGGAGGAAGCAGTTGTGGTGGTGGAGGTAGATGCAGAGGCCCGGGGTGAGAAGAGGGAGTCAAAAGTCTCCCACTTTGTTGTTACGATTACCGACGGCGGCTGCGGGGATGGGGACGATTGCTTTTTTTGCCGTTGCTGCAGGGGCGCCGTTACCGGAGCTTCTCCGTTATACGCTTTGGGCATCGCATTCTTAAGCTTAATCACGTCCAGCCTCTCCACGTATTTTTGAACCCTTCTGACCTGATTCACAGGAATCAGTACATTGGAGATAGCAAAATAGGACAAATGAGAATCTGATGGGAAATCGTCAAAAGAATGGTTTTTGAATTGATACCTGCATTCTTCTCTGGAACTTGGCATCGCCGTCGGCGACTACGCCATCCAATTTGAGCAGCTCGTTCATCAGCAGCTCGATGAGTCTCAGCAATTCATTCTCCGAAACCTTCCCTCCTTTCGAAATTACGACTTCCAGCGCCGACACCTGCGATGAGATCAAGGAAAAGAATTCGCCGTCATGATTTGAACGCCTTAAAAAAATTAGGATGACTAGATAATGCACATGAGGTGTTCGACGAGAGTACGAACCTGGGAAGCTAGTTTGTCGACCTCGAGGCTGATCTCGGAGATTGACTTTTCGGCCTTTTCCATCTTGGCGGCGCGTCGCATCTCCAGAACGCGTTTGGCCTGGGCCGCCGGATCCTCGACGACCACCATTTTTGATCGGTCTTTAACACCAGACATATCAAGGTAGGCGGCGGAATCTCGTTCCTTGTCCTTAAACAGTATCTTCTGGTCCTGCGGATGCAAACCTGTTCGCTCCGCAAGCAGTTTCTTCAGATCCCCTGCTTCCCCAAGACCAAAGCCGTGAGCTTTCTCATTGTAACTTAAAAGAGCGAATATTTTCTTATCTTTATCAGAAAAAAGAAAAGGAATTGCTAATTACCGAAGGTAGCCTGAGAGCTAATGTAGATCTCATGGTAGATAGAGCCATGCTTGACACGCAGGCGGAAGGTTGGCACAGGCGCCGCGACGGCAGAGTCTTCCGAGCTCCGTTTCTGCACAAGCATGCCGCACGGGCGAACCTCCCACTTCGCCTGTTCGTTCACCGGAATCGTCGCCGGGGAATCCTTCATAGGTACAAACGCTTTCACCGGCCCAGTCTCCGCCGCCACAGCCGCCGCTGTCCTCATACGCATCATCTTACAAAATCCCAGATCAGATCCGGCGCTAATAAATCAACAAGCCGTAAAAAATTCCAGTGGGTGGATCGCCGGACTCCGGAGCAAAAGCCGCAGATTTCCAAATCCTAACGGGGATTGTACCCGACTGTAGGGGAGAAAAACCGCCGGTACAGAAGAACTGGAGAGTTCTACGAGATATTGAAAGAGAGCCGCCGACGGCCCGTGAATGCTGGCCGCGAGCCGAGCGCGACAAAATAGCCGAGAGAGGAAGGATGAAAATATTATTATTTATAAAATATGAAAAATGAAAGGAAAAAAAAAACCCCAAGTAGAGATACACCACCAACCATCAGTAATGGTAGACCTCCATCAGCAAATATTTTTATTATTTATTATAAAAAAATACTTTTATATAATTTTAAATTTAGATAAATATAAATATATAAAAAAATTATATGCAAATAAACCCTTTACAATAAAATGCTTACAAAAGTAGTTTAATTTATTTATGCGAATCATTTCTTAGAAATGACTGGTTTTGGAACTTGGAAGCTCTGTTAGGTGCCGTCAGAGTGGGTGGGCGAATGAATTGCTTTATTTTGCCAGCTCACTACAACTGAAGCTTCCATCAGGGGTGTCAATTTCGAGTCACGGGTCGGGTTCGGGTCGAACCCGAACTGACCCGGGTGGAAAACGGGTCAACCCTAACCCGACCCGAGTAGAGAAACGGGTCGAAAATCCGAACCCGAACCCGACCCGGCGGGTTGCCGGGTTGACCCGACCCGACCCGCGAAGCAGAGAACCCGACCGCGGCAGCACGCGGCAGTGGGCGAGCGCGGCACGGCAGCGACCGCGGCAGCATTTTGGACAAAACCGGCCGGTTTGAAGATAAGCCGGTTTTCGGATTGAACCGAACCGGCCTTTGGACCGGTTCACGGTTGAACCGGTCGGACCGGCCGGTCCGGTCCGGTTTTTAAAGCATTGAATATTTCTGAAGAACTTGCTTTAAGATTCGGGATAATCTCCATAAAAAAATCATATTTCTAATTACTTATACATTTCTGGATATTTCGTGCCGATACAGTAGGGCGAATTATTGCGTTGGGTCACCGGATGTTCGGACATCCAATCTGATGAAGCCATGTCACTCAAATACACTGGGTCCCAGTGTATTTTGGTGATGTGGCGACACCGGATTGGTGTCTGGACGAATCTGGACACCGAACGCAATAATTTGCCAAATCATAGAGCGCTACATCATATATAAATGATGGGTACACAGCTGCGGCATACAGTAAAAAGAGGTGATTTGGCGTACTTTGATTAGCCCCCAAATAACGATCGATGTACGCACAAAATAATTTTTAACATATATGATTTGATGATTAATGGATGTGACACATTTTATTGATGAATAACTATTATACCATTCAATTTTATTATAGTTAAATTAATTTATTTTTATTATTGTAATTGTTGGCAATCATTGATGATTAATTGTTAGTTTTCAAACAATTACAAATATCGGAGATGCCCCACTTTCAATGTTGTATTTTCCAAGAAAAATGATTCTGTTAATTTATATATTTAGTGTAATAAATTTGTGGTATTTTATTTTGTAAATAAACTAATTCATTGAAAATGAATAAGCAAGCCCACACAGCTATATTGGATTGACTATGAGATCGTGCTTTTGGGCATGTTTGTTTTGGAATTAAATAATGTTAAGTAAAATAAGTTAAATTAACATGTCGTTTTTTTTAACTAAACAGCATTTAAGATTTAATTAAGTATTAATCATCTGAAAATAAAAAAAATAAAATAAAACTCGCTAAAGTCGCCCGTTAAATGGGCTACTTTCTATTTAAGGTAAGTCACCCTTTGAACCGGAGACTTATATAATTTTTTTTTAAAAGGGTAATCTTGATATATCATCCAAAAATTATCTTTATCAGACACGAATTTTGAGGTAAAATTAAGTGGGAAGCTTCAAAAATTAAATAAAAAATAATATGAACTCTGATTTCAACAAACTTATAATCGAGCTGAACGTCTCCAAAAGGCGAACCCAACGACACCAAATTCGACTCAATCCAAGCCCAAATGAGTCCAAATCAAACACTTGAAGCGCATTTGGAGGTTCAATCCATAATTTGGATTACCAAACAATTTCCAAATGTGACCTGCTTGTAGTCGAATCGAGATGAATCCAATGAGCTCAAGATCGTCAAATTCTAGTATCATTAAGATATTCAGTAAACGGTCGTGATCAAGGGATTCAACATCGGCCATCCATTCAAACCACTCCTAATTTACCTTTGATCTTCCTCCTATTTTTGGTCATGTCACTCTCAAAAAACTATAAATAAACCCACCTTCGGGGGGGGGGGGGGGGGGTGGCAACCAAGAAGAGAAGAATAATTCTCTTGTCAACATACTCCTCGACCACCACCTGGCTGCTGACCAACATCGAATTTTTGATAGTTGTTGGATTTCTCTCCGCCCGTCATCTAACTTCTACCCATTGATGGACTTCTTTCGGCAAAATGCGGACTTCCGTCAGTCGTCGGACTTCTACTCGTTGCTGGACTTTCGTTGGACTTTTATTCGACACCAGACTTCCGCGTGTCGCTTAATTTCTATCTGACACCAGACTTCCACCCATCATCAAACTTCTACATGTTTATGGACTTTTATCGGACTTCTAACCCATCGTCGGACTTTTGTTGGAATTCTAACCAATGCTGAACTTTCACCTGACGCTGAACTTTCACCCGTCGTTGGACTACTATACATCGTCGGATTTCTACCAACCGCCAAACTTCTACCAATCGCCAAACTTTCATTGAACTTCTACCCGACGCCAAACTTTCACCTGTCACCAAACTTTCACCCATCACCAAACTTATATCCATCACCAGACTTCTACCCAATATTGTACTTCCGCCCATCTCCCGATTTCTACTTGACGCCGGACTTCCGCTCTTCACCATACTTCTGCTTGAAACTGAACTTCCACTCGTCGCCAGAATTCTAACCATCGCCAGACTTCTATCCGTCGTCATACTTTCGTCAGACTTCTACCTGATACCTAACTTCCGCTCGTCACTAGATTTCTAACCGACGTCGGACTTCTGCTAGGCTACGGTCCTTTCGACCTCAGTCGCCATAAAACGGTCCTTTCGACCTCCATCGACCGCCGACTACGATCCTCTGAATACGATCCTTCCGACCTCCGTCGCTAGAAAATAGTCTTTCCGACTTCCGTCGCTCGTCAACTATGGTTCTACCGACCAAATAAACATATCAGTAGTGTTTCTTTTAAGTCCCATCATGTAATGCATTTTATATGATGTATATTTATTACATCAAGCCAAGGCTCTCCCCCTAGGAAGAGCCTCATTTTTAATCGACTGCAAATATTATTGGATTCATTCAAATTGGGCTAGGCATCATGGTTTTTACCCTTTTCGGAGTTTTTCATGTAAAAATTTTGGTGACTCTTATAAATATTGCACCATTTCTCTTATATGATATCATGAATATTCCATAATGCAACAAATCTATATTTATAATTATGTTTACGCTTTGTTATATTTGTAAAAGATTTATTAAAATATGATTTGAATGTGTAATTATTTTGGACATTGGATTTCTCTGTAACAAGCAATTAATGTGTAGTTGTTGTGGATATTAGATTCCTCAGATAGCCTGTGACATTCAAAGCATAAGTTCCTTATAATTTCTCATTTAATGTGCACTGACATTTCATGTAGCTTGCAATAGCCTATCCCATCAGATGGCCTATTAAGTTGTAAGGTTAAATCAAGTCATAATGTGTTATATGGTTGCAAGTTAAGATTTGATATCTTTAATCTCTATTATTTAAAGGGTGCATAGAAGACACATGAAGTATATTTATTGAGTTATTACTTCAGTTATTCATAATAATTTGGCCATGTATTGAGAAACTTAAAGATATTCCCAACAAAGAAATGTTTGATAATGCAAGGTAAAAAATGCATGCTTATATATCACGATCAAGTGACACTCTGTTGGAGCATAAGGCAGAATGAGATATTTAGGTATTGCGTACATGAATAATGTTCAGAAGATGATGATGATTGCTTTTAGAATATGCATACTAAGTTAATAAGCATAAAACTTTACATGACAAGAAGTTTCTTAAATGCCGCTGAATGGAAATCTCTTGAAATTAGATTTCGAAAAGAGAATTGTCACCTTGTCAGTTTTCATTTATTATAGATATGGTACCATGAGATGAAACACCATAGAGATGGTGGTCATTTCCCACCAAATATAGACTGCTGATGGCAACCCTATACAGTTCTTCAATGTTGAGGACTGGCAAGACTTGTAATATGAGTTCGAGTTTCATCTGAAATGTTGTCCGACTCAAAGACAGCTCCAATCATATTTGCATATGCTCCTTAGGAATTAGAAAATCTATGTCTTCGTCTAAATTTGGTATAAAGCGTGTTTATTTATTTTACGTTATTATGGTTGTATGTTAAACTTTGTTAAGTTCTTTAGCTTGCTAAAATCCAAAGTGTATAAATAGCTCTTATTTATACACAATTGAGAGAGATTTTTTAAGAGAGAAATTCTAGAATTAAAAAAAAAAAAAAACTCAACAATATTTGGATTCTCCACTCTTTTGTCTTTAGTGCTCTACCAATATATACTTCCTTTACACTTTCTCAGCTGTCTAGTTTTCATTGCTATTAGGAGATGGATGGAGCCAACTATCTCCACCCTCATATATTACAACATATTATCATTATCAATCATCATCCAACTCCCTTAGTTGACCAATGCTAACTCATGATGTCCATTGCCACCTCTCATCTGATGTATGTCGTTGACCGACACGAATACTTAACATCCATTGCCACTTATTGTTTGGCATCCACCATTGACCAATGTTTACACTTATTGTTCATCATCTAATTCCTCTTGGTGATTTACACAAATGTTCATCACCCTTTAATTGTTAAGATTCACCACTAGCTATCAACCTTTGACATTATCATAGACCACCACAATTGAAGGTAGCCCTGCATGATAAAAAAATTTATGTTTTAATATAAAGGGATGAGTGAGACCAATGAAAGAAAATCTTGAGGCAGTTGGGTAAAAACCAAATTATATTTTAATAGTTATGAGCTTTAA